AGAGAGAGAGAGAGAGAGAGAGAGAGAGAGAGAGAATCTGGTTGTAAAAAACCAGTTTTGCAAAATTACGATTTTGCCCCTACTTGAATTTTGATCATATCTCTCTCCTTACAACTTAGATTTGAATAAAAAGTTAACTTTTAAACCATTAAAAAAATTATGGGGTAAAATTATCTTTTACTTGAATAAATTAATAATTAAATATTAATTTAGGTTCGGGTTATTACATATTCACCACCAAACACCCAATCGAACCCAATACACATCTCACCACCTAGTAAAAAAGTCAGGATTTTGACTCCCTATGGCTCCAGTCTTTGAATTTTAGTGCCATTTAACCATTTTTTGTGGCCTTTTTGGTTCGGTGAATCGACCATTTTCATATTCTAAAATCGTGAACTAGACCAGACAAAATTAGTTTAGTTCGATTCTTGAGCCGTTGTTTGATTTTTTGGTCAAACGGTTTTTTTCAGTTCGGTTCTATTCAGTTCTCTTGTTTGCAGTTTGTATGCCCACTCGTAATATTGGGGAGGGGACTTGGTTTTCTCACACACATAAACACTATCAAGATGTCATGGGGGTTCAAACCTGAGACCTGAAACCTCACACACACTATAGTTATTTTTTCCTTTTAAGTTTTTTTTGGGGCAGAACCTAAGGGCTCGTTTGGTACGTTGGACTGTACTAACTAATTTTAGTCGAATAGTATTAATCTATTCTAGAGAGTAGTGGTTGTTTATCTATTTGAGCAAAAATTATGCATATGGAATATTCACTGATTGATTCCTCAATCTTCGATCTTTCTTCTCTTTCTTCTTCGATCCCTACAAAATAAATTGGAGTAAATAGACCCCCCTTGAGGGGTGTTGGCCATAGGCCCTTCGATGCCTAAGTTAGTTTGATTGGATCTTGATAAAGATACGACAATAGCTAAAGTGAATGGAGTTTTCTCTCACGGGGATAGCCGAGTGGCCTTAGCCATGTGTGGTGGAACTTAGCTGTGTGAGGAGAGAGAGATAAGAGGGGCGGAGAGAGAGAGAGAGAGAGAGAGAGAGAGAGAGAGAGAGAGAGAGAAGAGAGTGATTTATCTAGGGTTTTTGGAATTAGAGAGGAATTTAGAATGACCTTGAATGCCTAATGTAGCCATATATTTATAGGCTCCTTGTATTCAGTGGCGGAGGGAGCTAAGGCCCAGGGTGGGCATGTGCCCCCTCTCAAATTTTATTTTAGGCTATTGTATTATTAATATAATCATACTTTTCTAACCAAATTTTGAAATGCCCATGTATTTCTTTCTTTGTATTTTTTAAATTTTCCTTTTCTCACTATCATTGCTACCCTTTCACATCTCTTATTGTCGTACTTCGATTTGTAGTGATAAATTATTGTTCAAAATTTGTGTGTAATTTTTTCATTTGATTTTTTTCCTAGGATCGATGTTAAGTGGATAGTTAATATAATATGTAAAATAATGGAGTACAAAAATTAGGGATTTTGTATCAAGTAAAAAATTAGTTTAATTGTCACCCTAAAGAAAAATATATTTCAATAATAAGGTGCCCCCTCTGTGAAAATTTTCTGGCTCCGCCACTGCTTGTATTCTATGGTTTGAAGAATAATCCTTATTAAATTAGGATTATTCTTACCCAAAAATAGGAGATTGGAATTAATCAAGGAGATTAAGTGGAAATCTCATCCTTGATTTAGGGAGATATTCTCATCTTAAATAAATTATAATTTCCCTAATTAAATATTTAATTAGGGTAACTAATTGACCTAGGGAATTTCCCTTTTCCATGTGTCACCCACTCATTGGTCGTCGAAATATATGCTCCAACAAATGCCTCTTAACTTCTGCATGGAACGTACATGGCAGGGAGGAGATGTGAAATACTCTTCAGGCTTTCCAACTATGTTTGGGCTTCCAATTATGAGTTGGGCTCCTAGTGGGAGTAGGCTTGTGACTCCTTGTTGGTCAAGGATACCCAAATGCTATAAATGCAAGGCTTTTCTTCGCTCCTCTTCGTATCACAAACTTACTTTCCTATACTTTCTAACTTATGAGAGAGATCTTAGAGGATTGTACTACTTGTTGAGGAGAGGAGTTGTCGTGCACACCAAGGTAGATCACACTTGGGTTTTTATTTTTCTTCGTGGTGAGGACCAGTTGGCCTGTTGCTATCGACTGTGGGCGTCACTTGCTGGCTGCTACCCTTTTTTTTCTCTGTTAGGTTGCCAAGACCATGGGCTGCTCCTGTAGTCTTGGGCCTGTTTAGGTTGCGACTTGCTGCCTTGTGCGATTTGGGCCACAATTTGGGCCCTGGCGTACTTCAGCCCAAACGGCATGACTTTATAGCAATATGTACCTCTTTCAATTATGAAAGAAGTCTTCACTTTATTGTCCCCGTGCATCATGATTTGATTGTAGCCGAAGCATGCGTCCATGAAGCTTAGTAGTTGGTTACTGGACGTTGAATCTACAAGCTGATCAATTCTTCGCAATGGAAAGTTGTCATTCGGGCATGCCTTGTTAAGGTCAGTGTAGTCCATGCACACTCTTCACTTGCCTTGGTCATTCTTAGCCACCAGGACAACGTTGGCCAGTCACTCCATGTAGGAAACTTCTTTAATGAAGCCGGCAACTAGGAGCTTGTAAATCTCAACTACAATGATGACAACTTGATAATCATACGACAATAGATAAAGTGGATAAAGTTTTCTCTCACGAGGAGAGTCGGGTGGCTTTAGCCGTGTGTGGTGGCACTTAACCATGTGAGGCGAGAGAGATAAGACGGGCGGGGAGAGAGAGAGAGAGAGAGAGAGAGAGAGAGAGATTTCTCTAGGGTTTTTGGAATTAGGATTTGAAGAGTAATCTTATTTAATTAGGATTATTCTTACCCAAAACTAGGAGATTGAAATTAATCAAGTAGATTTGGTGGAAATCTCATCCTTGATTTAGGGAGATATTCCCACCTTAAATCAATTATATTTTCCTTAATTAAATTAAGGTAACTAATTGACCTAGAGAATTTCTATTTTCCACGTGTCACCCGCTCATTGGTCATTGAAATATATGTTTCCACGTTATTCATAATATTATAAGGTATTTGGTGCTGATTCAGATAAATAATGTAACAAAATTATACTATGTTTAGTGCGGTTCCGGATAACATCGTATCATATTATTTTTTAAGTTTTTGATTGGTATGATATTACTTTGGTGTTCAAATATTAAGTAAGGCAAATTTAAAACATTAAAAAAGAAAGAAAGAGAATAATAGATGCGCAGCGGTGCCTGAAGAACGTGAATAAATTAAAAAACAAAACCCACCCAACCTCGATGATCTCCCCCTAGCAGCTACAGCACCCACCCAGCCTCCCTCCCGACACCACCGCCGTTACTTCTGTTCTGTACGGTACCCCCCATCTCCGTCAGCCAGCCCTCTCATCTTATGAGTTGGTTCTTTCTGTCTTTTCTTCTTCCATAAAAATAAGGCACATCATTCGTTCCTTGTTTCTTTCTTTCATTGCCCACCGTTTGGCCTTTCTGATCTCTTCTTTCTTTCTGGGCATCCATCTCTAAACCTCAAATCTCCCATCTCCAGTCGATTATCTTCTTCTTCTTCTTCTCTTCGGAACCCATCTACCCAAGGAGGAAAACAAGAAGACAAGGAAAATGAAAAACCCCCGTCAGCCTCAGAATTTGGATCCGCTGTGAATTATCCAGCCTCGATCGAAATTTCAACTTTTCCGAGAGAGAGGTAAGTCAGCTCCGGAGCTCCTCCTAACTTTGTTTCTTCAGCTTTTCTTTTCTTTTTCTCTTGTTCTTCTTTAATTAATTAATTAATTAATTATATGATTTAATTTTGTTCGTATAATGATTCATTCCTGATCTATCTATCTATAGGATTGATGCTAAATGCTAATTGTATGAATGATTGATCATTGATCAGCCATCTTGGAGATTTAGATTTAATTTGCTTGCTTACTTTGACCTTTTGCCGTCTCTCATTTAATTTATGCATGCCTCTGCACTGCAATTCCTCTGTATCTATCTATCCTGTTTGGTTTTAATTAATTAAAATTGGATGCTGCTGCTTTTGCTGTTATTTGTTTACTTTAGACTCCTCCAAGGGAAGGGAAAAAGAGAGAGAGAGCGAGAGAGATTGAAATGGCAGCCCTGGTATACCAGATATTGTCGTCCTCAGCACTGGTGTCACTGGGACTCTACCACATGGTGGCCACCACCCGCAACCACCTCAAGTCCCCACAGTCGTACTCCGCCAAGCCCTACCACCCCTTCCCTCTTTCGTCCTCTTCGTCTTCGTCTTCCAATCATAATCGCCTCAGGTACTTGCAGCTCTACGCCATCATTGCCTTCCTCATGGTTGCCGTCGCCCACCAGACCTTCACCTCCTTCGACGCTGATCCACTCCTTAAGGGCCGCACCCCCGTCCACCGGTTCACCTCTCTGCAGTCCGCAGCCTCCCTCTTCCTGTTTCTGCTGCTCACGCTCGCTCTGCTGCTCTCGGAGTGGGCTCCATCTGTGCTGCCACTGCCCTCCGATCTGGTCTTTGGCCTGGCTGCCGCCCTCTTCTACCTACAGTGCCTGGTCTCGTGGGGTGCCGCGTCAGTGCAGATGTCGGATCTGCAGGCCAAGTGTGACTCAGTGTCGGGTCGGATCTCGGCGGTGGCGTCAGGGCTGTGCGTGGTGTTGGCATGCCAGCCAAGGTTGTTTGTGGCGGATGTGGGATTGGGGGCGGCCATGTGCCTGCAGGGGCTGTGGGTGTTGCAGACAGGGCTGTCGCTGTACGTGGAGGCGTTCATCCCGGAGGGCTGCCACAGGCTGCTGGATGTGGTGAGCGGGGTTGAGGGTTCCACCAAGTGTGACCTCGACGAGTCCCGCTTCAGGGCTGTGGCCATTCTGGATTTGGTGTTCTTGGTCCACGTCATGTTCGTCTTGCTCATTGTCATGGTCACCTATGCCGTTGTTTCCAAGTCCGTTGGAATCCGCAGATTGGGTTCTTACGAGGCCTTGCCCAATGCTGTTCCCTCCTCTGACCACAACAACCACATTCAGATGAAAGCCTTGAGCGGCACCCAGGCTTAGTTGACAACCACACCCCCACAATCGACATTGAGGAGGAGAATCAGAGGTACCTTTCCCTTTGCTAGATTACTCTACTATGATGATATCCCGGAGATTTTGATTTTGTGTGTATACCATTAACATAAGCTTCATTATAATTACAGTTACAAACTGCTATGCTCTGTGCAGTGCTTTTTTATTTTTAACGGCCATGGTACATACTACATTGGCAATTTTTTGTCTATGGATTGCCTATGATAGGGTTCCTTGTATGTAAGGTGAAGTCTAGTAGTTAATGCATAATGGACAGAAAGAAGACATTAGGTTGCAAAGAGAAAAGGAATTTAAACACAAAATTCCATTTTTGTTTAGTGTGGCAAGAAGACTGTCTGGTGTAGCAGAGGGATATGTTAGGGTAGTTTTGTGAACAATGCCACCCTATAATACAATAATTTTAGGTTATAGAGCTTACCATGTTCTCTTAGAAGTTTATTCTAATAATCTCTCTTTCTTTTTTTTTAAATTTCCTATCAAAGTCTTGTCCGTAGAATTGTATAAAATCTGCAAAGTTTGTGTGATGCAGTGTTGGTGGGTGCTGGCGGTTTTTGTGCTGGAGGTCGTAGTCATCCTCATCGTCCTTAACATATAATCTGCAAGTATACATATATACAGTCACAATGTGCCTCTGCATGAGAAAGTTTGTTTGATGCATTCTTTGTTTATTGAAGTCCTCCAGCTTTTAGTTGAGATTTACATGTACTAGAGTGGGATACCTCTTTGTTTTCTTGTCTTTTTTCTAAGGCTGATTTTGGGTTTTTTTATTAGCAATATATCCTCTCTGTATTATGGTTCTTGGGTTTCGCTTTTGTAATTTATTCACTTTTTATGGTGGGTTTTCTCTCTGTTTGGTTTATGCTTTCCTGTTTGTGTATATTAAAACGATGGATGTCTTTTCCGGCTATTCCATTAGGTCAAGGACTAGGTTAGTTAGGTCAGTATTTGCTTCAATTGAGATGTGTGAAATCTTTGAATTGGATTTGGTTGACATTTTGGGTTAGTTCTGCTAAGAATTTTGCTTTTTTTTCTGTTTTGGTTTCCAAATTGGTATTTGAGATTCTTCTGATACTGCAAAATTCCTTCAGTATCACATTCTGTTCCTTTCTTTAAATTGTTTTGTATTTATTAGAAAGCCTTTTTTAGCTTAGATGAATCATTTTGCTTACATGGTTTCTTTATGTGATTTTGTTAAGAAATTGACAGCAACAGCCAATAACTCTTGTGCTAGTTATGAGTTTTTCTTATCTCACGCCTTGTGTCTTGACTTGACCTTGACTAAACCAAGTGGGATTTATTATTATTATTTTTTATGTTTGATTCTACGATACTCAAATTGTGAATTTGTGATATACATGATTCCATTAGTTTTATAAATCATAATTTACATGCATTTTTTTGTATTTGACAATGTTGGACATGCTAATTTCAATAATGATTTACATGGCTTCTTTTTCTGTTTGGGTTTTCGGTGGGATGCCAAAGTGTGATGGATGCTGTGTTTCTGTATCTAGTATTTTGGTTATGTAGAAATGAAAATGAGGTAGTATCTTTTAACTGCTATAGAAAACATTCTTGTAAAACTGGATCGGGTTCTGAACTTGCATGCTCCTTAACTTTATTCTTTATATATTGGGACCGCGCTGAAAAAAGACCACTTCCTTCCTTTGTGCAGAGACTCCTGGTGCAGCTAGAGCATGGGTATCAACACTACAGTAAGTTCTTTCCCATTACATTATGCTATAGTGATTATGCAGATGTTATTATATGTGGTTCAAATTTCATCTTTCTGTGCACCTTATAAATACTTTATAACCTCAAGGAAATACCTTTTTAGTAGAGTTATATTCTGCTGGTGCAAATGAGAAATTAGTTAACATATGTAATGGAGATTATCAATGTGGTGTTGAGGAAAAAACAAGGGTTTTAGAATTTGAACTTTCCTATTCTTAGTTTTTAATTGAACTATCCCAATGTAGTTTGAATTCTCTTTTAGATTCCCCTTTTTTTCTCCTTTATTATTTCATGTGTGAGCTTTGGCAAGCCATTCCATTAAGACTAGATTAGCAGATTCCAGTAATTGTATGTTTTATCTGATCTTGTCATCTTTTGCTCTTTTTTTCATTTTGTCTGTCCTCTGAATGGTTACACAGTTGGTTTTGAAGGTCATAAAGAAGCTGTGAATTCCTTGAGTGGCAAGGCAATGGCTCTGCGAAACTCAGAATGGTTACAGCAATAGTTGCTGCTGCAAATTCGACTGCTTTGGAGATGTTTTTTTGTAGTTTAGATTAGTTTGTTAATGGACCATCTCGGGTTTCAATTGTACTCATATCAGTTCTAAGCTAACTCTGTCAAGATAACATTTCAATAACATTTTACGGGTATTCGACTCAAATATAGTAGATGTTGTGGCAATTGTTGTGACAACCTTATAAATGTCATTGTTGTGGCGATTGTAATTCACTTGGGGTAGAGTGTAGTGTTATTCCCACAATATGTTTTGTAATGTCCAATTAAATATATTCACGTTTTATCTGCTGGTTATACACCGGATATACTTGTATATCAACTTCCTATTAACCACATATATAGCCTATGCCTAAACCCAATAAATAATATGGACGAAATTTGCCAGTGGGGTATAGTTCAGTTGCTTGAGTTCCTTCACCTCTACACCAAATGAATGTTTTTGTCAAAAATTGTATTGCCATACCCAACCCCCGTCTCCATGGGAGACTATCTCTCTAACTCGCTCTAAATTCCCTATTTTTTTTTATATAAAAAAATTTATCTTGCAAGGTGCAACACACTACAACAAAAGAAGATATATGGCCTCATTATTTGGAGAAGATTATACACACAGTAACTATAAGGTAATTTTTTTTACTGCAAATCCTACAAAACACAATGTAAAGTGAGAGCAGAAACCCAAAGAAGTTAACAAATCCACCAACAATATTAACATTAGCATCAAACTATCCATCTGACCAGGGGAAAATTGAGAAAAGCAAGGCTTCGATGATTAAGGATTGACAACTGCCAATATACTCTCATATGCAAGCTCGGTGCTCCTCCATGATTTTTTCCATCTGCAGGAGGTATAGGTGAACCAAATGCAGCAACCTAATAGGGATTCATTGGGGCTACTGTGTAGTAGTTGTGTAGTTAGGAGCAAGGACTAAAATATCGATAATATCGACGAAATATCGGGGATATTATTGTTTTTTCGGATCTAGGATATTTTGGAACATATCCATACACATATCATATAAGTATTGATAATATCGACGATAATATCGGAAATATCAACGTCGATAATTTCTCTCACACTTAAGCAACATTTGGCCAAAATATCGCTATAATATCGATAATATTGAGATGAGTAAGACAATGAAAAATTTGAAGAGTTATTTACACTAACACCCCCTGAGGTTTCTTTTGTTTTCACAAAACCCATCAAGTCTCAAAAATTACATGAACCCTGAGGTTTCAGTTTGTTTTCACAAAACCCCTTTTCATTGATTGTTTGTCCAAAAATTGATGATTTCATTGAAAAAAAAATTTATGCAAATGACAAATTAACCTCAATGAAGTATATGCGATATAATCTGAAAGGCCAACTTTGTGATTTAGAGAATTTTTTTGTATAAAATCATCAATCTTTGAATATAAAATCAATAAAAAAGAGTTTTGTGAAAACAATTTAAAACCTCATGGGGTATTCTTGTAATTTCTAAAACCTCAAGGAGTTTTGTGAAAAAATCGAAAACCTCAGGAGGTGTTAGAGTAAATAATTCAAATTTGAACATTATAGGAACTCTATGTGGTACTAAATCACTCATGTATCTTAGCATGCAATATATAAAGTGTAAAATATTGTAGTAAATCATTATAAATAAATGATTATGGTGTGTTTAATCTCCCTTCATTAATTACTACATATTTTCTACACTCGCAGTGTTTGTCAACTCGCTATATAATCAACTTAAATTAGTTAAACCCATCATACAATGCATTTCCTTCCAATTTTGTGTGTGATAAAGTAATAGATAATTGACTAAATAAACATCCTCCAAAGTTTCAAGAAAAATTTCCAAGCTTTTCTTACAATTTTTGTGGTTTTTATTCAATTTTTATCGATATCGATGTTATCCCAATATTTCCATTGAAATTTCCGTGTTTTTGGACTACTGATATTTCCAAAACCATCGATATTTTAGACCTTGGTTAGGAGGAATGAGGAGTGGCTCTAGGGTAACTTATGCTTTGTTATATTATATTATATATTTATTAATTTAAAAATAAATATACAATTATCGGGCTGGGTCCATGGGAAATACCATAAAATACCATAAGGCCAAACTTACTTCTCCAAATACCATCCTTGGCTGGACATTTTGGAAATACCTAGTATAAATACATAATTATTGGGCCCTTATCACCTTTTCTTTTCCCTAAACCCTCTCTCTCTCTCTCTCTCTCTCTCTCTCTCTCTCTCTCTCTCTCTCTATATATATATATATATATATATATATATATATATATGTGTGTGTGTGTGTGTGTGTGTGTGTGGGTCGCTCTCTCTGACCTACTTATGCGAGGTAACATGCCTCTTTCTCTTCCTCTCTCTTTCTCCTATTCGTCTCTCACCCCCTAGCCCTTCACGTGCTGTGTTTGGGCTTAGTGTTAAGTTGCTCAGTTGGGTCTCTCAAATATGGCATACCCCTTTTGATTTGCTTGTTCAACTCTTACATTTTGATTTCATATTTTTGTAGAATTTTCTCTACAACCAAATAATGGGGATGAGTTACTCTTAAAAGAGGGAACTTTTACTCTGTAATCATTAGATTAGCTTGTCTGCTAGTTATAATTAGTTATTGTTTTCACTTATATATGTTACAAATTATCTTACTTTTATGCCTTTTGGTTTCTGTTTATACAAATGTCTGGAATTTTTGGTTTTGTCCATGATTGACTATGAGGAAAAAGTTCGGTGAAGGAGCTTTTGTAGTAGTTTACAGAGTTTCATTGGCTAATAAGAAGTCTTCTTCCAACGTATGAAGAAGCTATTTCTATAGACACTGATGTAGGATACATTGCATGGGTTGGGAAATGCCTTGTTGATGTTGTTTATAATAATTTTCAAGATAAACTTTTCACAGAGTACATGATTTTTTTTGTCATATCTGGATGAAGAATTATAGTAACATGAATTTCAGAAATTGAGGTCTCTAGTGGCTTTTGGAAGATTATTATCTCACATATTATGAGATTCAATATATTGTTCTTTAAAGAAATATCCATTATTGAATAAATTCTATGTAGATATGCCATTTTGAAAACTTTGTCTTTGTGTAAATGTTTAACATCATTTTGCTTTTGAATAAGCATGTTCCTTTGGCCATGTGAGGTTGACCCACTTCTTTGTCAATTTTTTTTGCAACTAGTGACTGCCCCATTGTTGTACTAACTAGTTTGGTAGGACTTGTTTCAAATGTTGGAATATAACAACATTGCAGTGGATACATATGCAACTACTGCTGCTTTTTGTTGGTCTTTTATCTTAAAACAACCATTAGTGCATCTTGGGGAAATTGGTATGCGTTCTATATGTTTGGTTACATTGTATGTTTTATGTGTGCTTGTTCTATTTTGTTATACAATGGTTACATTTCTTTCGCATTGTTGAATTATCTTTAAGATTTTTCTATTTTTTTTTTCTTGTTTTCTTTCATTACTACATCTTTTCTCATGCTTTAAACCTCGAAATGGAAAAGTTTTCTTAATGTTGACTCTTTTCAATTTGATTAATGAGCCGATGATGAGTTTAGTTGAATTTTTATATGTTAATAAAGGAGATGCAGCTACCTTATGTTTTTTTTGTTTTAATTTTGTTCAATGAGAAAATGTGAAATGAAATCAGATTGAATGGTTTTGGCTATATATCTATGTCAATTTCTGCAATTGGGTTATGTGTTTCTTTATTGTTTTCTTTCATCTAGAGAAGGAAAATTTTAGGTGTTCATTTATAATCTCTACATTAGCCACATGACAGGAACGTTGTTGGCCAGACTATAGTTTGCTTTTGCAATTGCAATAGCTTTTTGCTATCTCTAGTCTGTGTTTCGAGTTCAATAGAAAATCTTGACAAATTCAACTTTCAATGGCAATAGTCTCATAAATGTTAAAACATAGTGAAAACTGAAAGGAATTAACAAGGGGTTAAAAAATCCTTAATGCCCATGAAAATGATGTTAGGTCTTGGTTCAACACTTGAATGATTAACATAGTTGTCTTCTAGGGATTTTTGTGTTTGAACGTAGAAATTGAGATTGTGTACAGCCTGTAGAAATTGTTTTAAAATGATTATTACTCATGGATTATCTTTGGCCTTATATAAGTTAAGAAGAAAATTGTGTTTCCTCGTGTGCTTTTGCTAATTTGAGTTTTGCATTTTATATTTATGGTGTAATTCCAAAATGCCCTTCTAAAGAAAACCAAAGTTTCTTTTAGGATTTGACTTATGCCGAAAATCCGACAGAGTCTCCCCTGTAAATCGGTCGTTTCCCAAACTTTTTCACCTGTACAACAAACAATTTAAATATACACAACCGTTCAGCATGCACAATAATAGGTTTCACGCAAGTAAACGTCAAATCTTTATGGCCTTAGGCCTCTTGGTACCAAATAAAATGTTCTGCCATCAGAAATGGATCTCAACTTTTTGAACAACCTGGATACGTCATCAAATTCTAGAATAACTTAACTGAACAACTTTTCAATCACTTGGTCTCGCGGCTGCACCTAGTAACTCTAGAGGTTGCCTACGTACCCTTAACAAGGGATTAAGCCACACGTAATTCTTTCACTTTTTATAATGCACTTGTATATCTTTATCGCTTATTATGTTTCAATGTGATTTGCAAATCAAACCAAGTTCTTATGTTAATGATATGCTCAATAATATTCACAAACCCTAAAGCAATACTTTCCAACATTCCCAATTCTTAAAACAATTCATGCTTGCCTCACTGAATTTCCTCTAATTATATATATATCACTCACTTAAATTATAAAAATAAAAATAAAAATAAAACAACAAGCTCCGAAGACACTTTTAACCTTTCCTTCGAAACTCACATAAGGCTAATTTATAAATACATATATGTATAAATAGATATATAATTAGCTTATTACAGATAAGTAGGAAAAACGAGAAATTTAATAAAATAGCATTAATCGCACAAAATCTGAATGTCAACATCTACAATTTAGATAAATTATATTTCCATTTGTTTTCCACATTAAACTGTCAATTCCTTGTGACTCATAATGTGACACATCCTCGTAGGCCTCGGTAACACAAAGTCAACCTAAGCCGCATTTCTTGCAGGC